CTCCCAAGTTGCTGGGATTATAGGCATGTGCCACCACACCCAGCTATATTTTACATTTTGACCCAGGGTGCCCACCGTGAAAATTCTCGCTACACGAGTGTGCAGACACACACACGTATCCGTGTGATTTCAACAAAAACTTCAAGAAATAAGACTTCAGCCGTCTCTGCCCTTGGCTCTGTTAGTCTCTGCTCTATTCAATTCTGCTGTATTTGCTTTAAAAATAGACCAAGTTTGCTGGGCGCGGTGGCCCACGCCTGTAATCCCCGAAGCTCCGGAGGCTGAGGCAGGAGAATCCTAAGTTCAAGGGCAGCCTGGACAATTTAGCAACAATGTCTCAAAATAAAAATATAAAAAATAAAATAAAAAGGGCTGGGGATGTGGCTCAGTGGCAGACCATCCCTGGGTCCAATCCCCAGGACTGGAAATATATATATATATATAAAATCAGTGACGCGCAGGACCTACCCAGAACATTGTCTTTGTAGAGATGGAGACTCTGAAGCCCATCTAGCTCAGGGTCACACAGCCAGGACTGGGGACAAGAGCAAGCTGAGCTGGGTGCTGCGGTGTGCAGGCACATGGCTCAGCCCACAGGATCCTGTGTCCTCCCTGCCCTGACCTCCTTATGCCTCAGTCATGGGCAGTGGGGGCAGTTAGCCATGGCCCTACCCTACCTTCCCTTTTCCCAGCCCCAGCCCCTGCCAGCCTCTCTCCGGCCTCTCCCCAGCCTCTCCCCAGCCTCTTGGCGGCCCTTCACAGCCCTGGGCTGGTCTCGGCACCCACTAGTCCCCTCTGCGTACTAAACCAGTGCAGCATGGGTGAAAGCAGGTGTCACTTCTGTGCTTACCTCCCCACCCCCCACCGCCGGGGCCGGCCACACTCTCTGCTCTGGGATCCCTTCCTCCACTAACACCCTGGGGCCTGGCCCGAGGGATTGGAGACCAGGACGTCTGGGTTGACCAGGGTTCTAGTGGTCTCTCTTGACAAACGCTGGCTGGCTGTCGAGGCCCTGCATGGCAGGCATCCAAATATTCCTGCCTTCCTCCTGGAAATAGATATTTATTGAGTACCTGTTGTATGCCGGGCCCTATGGCAGGTGCTGAGGCTGTCATGGTGAATGAGATGGACAGAGTCCAGAGGAGCAAGACAGGCTGAAGGGATGGAAGGGCAGGTGTCGTGTCCAATAAGATGGTTTTGGCGGGGGATATAACTGAGGTCACAGCTTTTGAGCAAAGACCCAGATGGGACAAGAAAGTGAACCTGCAATCATCTGGGAGGAGAGTTCCAGATGGAGGGAGGGAAGAGCCAGTGCAAAGGCCCTGAGGCAGCAGCGTGCTGGGCCTGTCTCAGGAAAGTGCAGGATCGTCAGCAGAATGGTCAGCGTGGCCAGAGTGGAGAAGGGAGGGCAGTGGGAGATGAGGTGGGACAGGGTCCTCCAGGTTGCGTGGGTGATTTCTTCAGGAGACATTGGAAGCAGGGGCTTCCTCTCCACAGGGCCCTGTCGTAGCAGATCTGCTCTGGTTAGACCTCCTTCATTCCCACCAACTCCCCCATCCTCCTGAAGTCTCCAGCCTCTAGTCTCTTGGCCTGGGGTCCCCTGCACTGCAAGCAGCCCCCTTAGGGGAGTCCAGCGAGACCCAGACATGACATCTTCCTTGTTGTCTCCTGACCCTTGAAAAACTCCCAGTCCTGGCCATGCTGGGGAGGGGGGCCGCTGGCTGCTCCCCTCCCTGCCCTGCCCCAGTCTCTTGGGGTCAGACATCTAGTGGGGGGTCTCCTCTGCAGGCATCTCACATTTCTGAGTGATTCTCGGGGACCCCCTCTTCTGGTACGTGGGTGGAATGGGCAGTCAGGTTTGGAGGAGCGGTGAGTGGCTGGGGCAGCAGAGTCTGCTGGCCCCTCAGAGGAGGCTGTCCTCAAAACACGGGGTCCCCAGGGCCTCTCTGTGTCCAGTTTGGGATGCTGATAGACAATTCCTGAAGGACAAGAACAGGCTCCCCCGACTGCTCACTTTACAGATCAGGAAGCAGAGACCAGGGAGGTAAAGTCACGGGGTAGTCCCATCAGGAGCGAAAGGCAGGTTGGGTTGACAGATGTTTGGGGCAATTCCTCAGAAGGGGACCCTGACTTGAGAATTCGGGTGCAGCTGATGTATGAAGGGCGGGAGCAGGAGGGCGTGGTGTCAGGCCGTCCTGCAGGGGGCGCTGGAGAGTCAGTAAAGTGGAATTTCCCATCCCAGAGGAAGGAGCTGGGGCCCGGCCACTGATGGTCAATGGCTGAGTTCACACAGGAGTTGTCCTGTGCTGCAGCAAGATCTTTGGATCAAAGACAGATGGCATATATATCGGTGGTCCCAGAAGATGATAACAAAGCTGAAAAATTCCTATCACCTTGTGATATCAGAACATCATCCATCTTGGCCCAACGCATTGCCCCCCCCC